TATTTTCTATATCACATGGAAGTCTTAAAATGAATCTCTTCTGTTCAGCTTTTCAGCTTAATAGAATTATTTTAAAGGGAAGCACACAATAGCATCTCTGCTGTTCATAGCTGTCTTAGGCACATAACCAAAGAAACTGGCAAGTTGTTTTATGAAACTGGGTAGGTGTTTAAAGAAGAACAGGAAACTGGCCCCTCAGCTACATATGGTCCTTTGCCAATGCTAGATGTTTTAGGCCATCTGCATTTACGATTGACTTCTTAAAACGCCATTGTAGCAGAAACCATAGATGATGCTCAGTGTGAATGCTAGAAATCAGATACTTTGATTTTCATACTAATTGAACATTAGGGTTATTAAGTCTAGAAAATAAGCAGCCTACCACTAAAAGTTTGGAAGAATAAACTTTGTATTATCTGCATGCTTATGAATGTATATTAGCAAGCAACTCACCACCTATACCCTCATACAGCTTCTAGGGCTAACAATTACTAATAACTACTAAAGGATAATATTTATAGCTAAGGGTTGACATGAGGGGTTCTTGGTGCTCTCCGAGCTTGCTTGTTTTCTTGCAGACATTTTATTATCCAGATCTGCAAGAAAACAAGCTTAGAGAGCACCAAGGACTCCTCAAGTTACTAATCACCTTGGTTTAAGGAAAGATATTATTTAACATACATACTTGTCCCTTCAAGTCCTTCTTGACTCCTGGTAACAACATGCACAAGTCTGTGTAGTTTTCTAGACAACAGTTCCCATCTACTTCAATTAAACTAAATCCAATTGGATTGGGAGGTTTTTGTGCAATGAAAATATGTTGTGTAGTTTTGATATTCCAAAGGTGCTTTTTCAAAAGGCAATTGGACTTTCTTTTTCCTTGAAGATGTTTCTCTTCTCTTCCAAAAAGCTTCTTCAGTTTTGACTGAATGGTAGAGAATGGAAGGATTTATATTCCTTGCAGTCATCTGGTCTGAGAGTTGTTGAGGCCACGGAGGTTTATCTGTGCCTTCGGTCGGTGGGGACCTGTTTTGCTGTTTTACAGCGTTCACATATTTTTGCAGTATGTGTCCTAATGTGTGTTTTATTTAATTAAACCAGGAAAGTTTTAAATGTTTTGATAATGAGCATTGCAGGGATATGATTTTTTCCCTTTCTTTTCCATATATATATATAGTACTGTTGTGAAGATTTAATACATACGTACATACGTACGTACGTATGTATTAAATCTTCACAACAGTACTATAACATGAATGTGTATAAAAAATTATGTGAAGATGCAGCTTCACAACAAAGCCTCAATACTTGTGATATTTTTTTAACTTCACTGAGGTCTAAATCTGTTCTTTTGTTTTTTATTATGCTTGATAAGACCGCTGCACCATTCCATTCCCTCGGATTTGTCTATTGGAATTAACATTTGTACATGTTAATTTTTTTCTTTTTTTACATTTGGCTGAAGTTATCTTTGGATCTGCTTGCTTTTGGCTTAGCATGTTGCATTTACTACCTAAGTTCAGGCTTTGTAGGTTGCCCTAGCTAAGTTTTTTGGGGGGGAAATCCCCCTTGTTTATGTGTGATGTATACTGAGATCAAATGAAGGAAACATAAGGAAGCGGTATTTTAACCATCTTCCAAAACTATCCATATGTGAAGTGTATCATTTGTTCATCCAGTAAACAACTATTAGAATGAGTTAGCATACAGGGAGGAAAGAATGTGCTCAAAAGAGAAATCATAATTACTTCTTGGCTATGAGGCTTGTAGGAAGCCAAAGGCAAATCATATCTCCTTGGCAGAATCAGAAAAGAATGCAGCGGAATTGCTAATTTGTCAGCAATTAATTTCTTGAACTAGTAGTCCATATTAAATAAAAGTTAGTTGTAGTAAAAGCTTTCTTCTAGTTTTAAAAAAGACCAGTTTCAGAATTGGAGAGACCCTTGATATAAGTTTTTGTCTTAGTTTAGAATCTGCTTCAGATTAGACACCATTGCTAATTTTGGAGAGTTCATACCATACCAGCTTGGCTGCAGCAGGAGAACAATAATAGCAATTCATGTTGCTGCCTCGTTTCTTATGGCCAACATGGTGGTTTCTATTCTTCCATTTCTCTGCTGGAGGGAGAATTGCCTATCTCATGATTTTGAAGTTTCCTGAAGCAAAGATAATAACAATTCAGATTCAAATTCTTTTATGGGAGATTTAGGCATGAAAATAACTAGAATCAGGCAATGCCCAGCTATCCCTAGCCTTCCTATGATAAGATTGTGAGCAGTACAACTTTAATTGCAAACGCTTCAATGGCCTTCCCTCTCATCCTGGGAAATTGGGAGAAAGGATGGGACTAAAGAAAGCATTCCCATTTCCCCTCCAAAATATCATTTTTAATGTGGAGAAACCCCAGTCTTTACAACGGAGAAGTATGTAGACAGGACTACAATGCACATATGAAGCACTTGAAGAACTATTGGTCAAGCAGGACATAGGATCTGGTCACCTGTCTTCTTTCCTATCGTTATCATAAGCTGTCCTATAAAAGCGTTGTTCCAATTAAGGCCTCTTGAGAAGATCGACTCCTGACAAGCCCTAGCTGAGAAATTTCCAAATAACAGCTGTATCCATAATGAAGCAGACCAGCAGCAAAAAGCTTTGCAAAGCAGAGAGAAGAGCCTAGCTCAGTGGTTCTCAACCTGTGGGTCGGGACCCCATTTGGGGTCGATCGACCATTTCACGGGGGTCGCCAAGCAAGGCTGTCCGCCATTTTTTTGTCCACCATTTTTTTCCCCTTTTCCGGTAGGTGCCTTTCCTCCCTTGGGCTGGGCCAGCTGGTAGTCGGCCTGCTCCGTCTCTGCCGCTTGCCAGCTATGCCTCGGCCGGCGCAGGGGGCAGAACCACGCATGCGTGGCGCTCCCAGGCAGGGAAAGTCCTCGACTTACGACCAGTTGGGTAGTCCTCGACGTACGACCGATTTAGTCCTCAACTTACGACCGGTTTAGTCCTCGACTTACGACCGGTTGGGGTTGCGGCATTAAAAAGGTTGAGAACCACTGGCCTAGCTAGATAAGCGCCTAGCACTCTGTTCCAATACCAGAGGCCTCCGTGCTTGGCAGGTGAAGCCACATTTATGAGTTGGGCCTTCACTCTGATCAATTGGCTATCTGCTAACTCTTGCCAGGCTTTGGGGAAATCAGCCATGGCTATGCAAAGGCAGCAGCTTCAGGATGAGCTCCCCAAAGCCTTTCCCTTGCTTAGCCCCCTCCTTCCCCCAGAAACACACATTTCTTCAATAAAGGAAAAAAACCCTAAAACCTGGGAGGGACAAACTCATTCATCTTTCTCTACCCAACCTCCCCCCCCCCCCCATTAGGTGGTGAAACTAAACTCGGCCTCTGTCCTCCAATCTCTATCCCTTTTCAAAACCTTATTTGCTAAATTTGGAAATAGATTTCAGGTTTCCAAGCTTTTTGCTGCCTGACTGCCTTTTTAAGACCCAGCTTCTGCTGTAGCCATTGTGTTTTAGATGTTTTCAGCTGCTCCAGGCATGCTACAAAAAAAAAAAGATTTTCTTTGCTTACTCTTTAGTCTGGAATCAAGGTCAGTAACTTAGAAATTTTTGTCACCCTTTTCCAGGCATGCAGTGAATTTAGCAAACAAGGTTTTTAAAAGGGAGTGCCAGCATTCCCCCCCCCCTTTCCTGAGGAAATGTGGGTTTCTGGGGGAGGGAGAGAGCTAAGCAAAGTTAAGGTTTTGGGAAGCTTGTCCTGAAGATGTTATCTTAGTCATGCAGTGTTCCTCAACCTTGACCATTTTAAGGCATGTGGACTTCAACTCCCAGAATTCCACAGCCAGCAATGCTGGCTGTGGAATTCTGGGAGTTGAAGTCCACATGCCTTAAAATGGTCAAGGTTGAGAAACACTGCCTTAGTGTGCCTGGTCTGGTTTCCCAAAGCCTAGCAAAGCCAGGAGAGGTTTGTATTCTCCTGATGACCTGCCAATTAGGGCAGAAAGCTCTGAAAGCAGCTGCCATTTCTGACTCATATTGTCGGAGAGTGCTGAAAACATTGGCTCCCTCCAGGAGGCAGGGGAGCAGGCCTGTCAGAGTAGGATGAGGGAAGAGGCAGAGAGGCCCTGCAGCCATCCCCATGGTCAGTCCTAAGAGTGAATGACCGCAGGAGTGTTGCAGCAGTTTGTAACTTTGAAACAGGATAGTATGTAGTTTCAGGGGGAGGAGGGTCTGTTGTAACTTCAAAAGGTCGTTAAGTGCCCTGCCATCTCTCAGGGAGTACATGTATTAAACAGTGTTTAATAATTTAATAATTGTGTCACGGTTGCTGCATATTTTCCTTTGAAATCACAACAATGAACAATTACAATCAGAACTGTTTTTGCGTATGTGTAGGTAAAAGGGATTGATTTGTTTTCCTTCTGTTACAATCTTGATGACCACAATATTTATTTGACGGAATTGTTTTATGGATTTTGTGTGCAAGGAGAAGCAATTTTGGTAAGGACTGTAGCGGGGAAGAAGGTTAAATCATCCATATTTTATAATTTGAACCCTGATTATCTTCCATTATTTAAAAGATAGAGATCTAAACTAACCTCAGTTGTAAAATGTCAGAATATACTTGTGCAAAAACGGCTCTCTCTGTAAGATATTCAGATTGCAATTTGATACTTGTTTTTGCAAGACAACCCAATTTGATAGAAAGGATAGACACTGAAATTTTAAAAAGCAGGCATGTTGATTTTATTCTTTTAACTGGAAGAAAATAAAATTACAAAGGCAGTGTTATTATTGGCAGTATATTTGATAAAACCACACTTTCTCTTATTCTGAGGGTAAGATTAGGATAATGTAGCATAACAATGTGCTGTAATTTAACTTGAAACATGGACAAACCTCAAATATGATGCATAGCTAATACATACAACAGTACTGTAGACAGTATTAACAGTATTAAAGGCAGTATTAAGAAACATTTCTAATTTCAGAACTGATAACCACTCACCAAGGATTTCTTTTACCAGGATGAACTACCTAGAGTTCATTAAACCACAACTTGAATTCATTCATTCCAGATTTTGGACACAACAAATCCCGTCTTGCTATTGGCTGTTGTTTCTCCTTTCTAATACATTAATGATCAGGGTTTATTTCTAAACTCCAGATGGGGAATAACTGCAGATATATATTGTACTTGGCCTTATTCTCCGTTTTGTCCATCCAGGCACTTCAGGAAAGATTTTAAATGTTTTTGGCATGTTTTGGCATTCCAGACAGGCCTTATGGAATTTCTTGATCCTTCAGCAGTAGATGATGGGGTTGAAAACAGACTTGAGATAACTCAGGCACAGTATGTAAGTGCTAGTTATATAGAAAGAGGGGCTGTAATAGAACCATTGGCTGAAGACTGACATCAGGCTAAAGACTGTGTGAGGAAGCCAGCATAGGGAAAAGCCAACAAACAGAATAAAGATGGTAGTGAATGCCCTAGTTTTGAAGCTCATGTCTACGTTAACGTGGTGAGGCTTTTGCAGTCCACCAAACTTAGTCTGCTCACCTGGCTGAGGCAGATGTTCTCAGTGTGGTTGTGGATCCGGACTGTGTTCTGACGGACAGTGTTTAGGATGCAAAGGTAAGAATACAACATAATGCCAAATGGGATAAAGAAAGTGGCCACAAGCAACATCACTGCATAAGCTCGGTCTGCAGAGAACTCAGTGTATCCAAGGCACACTGGGGAGCTCTGCTTGGCACTTCCACAAATGTCCATCTGACAACGGAAGGGAAAGAGATACAAAACGAGAAGACCCATGAAACAGCTATCACGGTTTTGGCACGACGAGGGTTCAGCTTGTCTTGGTGCTGGACAATGATGAGGAATCGATCCACACTAATGATTGAAAGTATTGAGACGCCTTCCTAGACAAAAAACCAGTAAAGCATAGCAGATATGCGGCAGAAGTGAGCTCCAAAATTCCAGTTTATTGTAATAATGCTGACAGCAGTAAATGGTATGCAGAGTAAAGACAACATAATGTCAGAGAAAACTGGTGTAGCAAAAAGCACATTTATTGCTGAACGCATAGCTGGCTTCTGGTAAACAATCAAGTAGACAATAGTATTGCCTAAGAATCCAATGGCAATCATAAGGAGAATTACTGTAGCCATTAATATCCTGAGTGAAACTGGCAAGGATGTATGAGCAACGGTGGTGAATTGGGTAGTCGCATTAAAGGCAAAGAATATGTCTGAAGGTGTCTTGTTCCATGCCATTCTAAGCCAAATACTAGTATCAGAAAGGCAAGGCCACCATAGTCTTCTGTCCAGCTGTTCAGCTGCTGCCATTTCTCCATTGTATTTGCCACGCTACTCTAAACAAAAGTGAGTCCCTCTCAGCATGTCTGTTTGTAGAACAGATTTTCAGCAATCGTTGACAGATCATAACATACTGTATAAGTTGTTGCATTTCTGAACAGAGACAATAAGGAAGCCACTGCCAAGAACTTTTCTTCAGGGACTTTCAGATATAGAAAACTGGATAAAATATTCAAAGAAATGTTTGAAATTCAAGAAAATGTGACAAACTGTTAGGGAATCAATATCTATCTTTAAAGCACTTTCCCCTCCCCCAGAAAGAAAGTAAAAAGCATAAGTATAAATACTCCACTTCATAAATATAAAAGACCATGCATGTAGGATTGGAAAACGCCCCATAGGCCTTGTGTAACCTTCCCTACACTTAGTGTACACATTGATTTTGTATCACATTTGTTGAAAGATGGCTTAATTTCTGAAATAGGATCCTGAGTTCACACAAAAGTTCCATCAGTCCTACTGTATCTCTGTGGTCAAATGAGAGCACAATTAGACGTTTCACTGCTGCTAGTAAAGTTCCAAACTGAGTTGGTTCCCTAAATCTATTGCCATTTTCTTGTACTCTATTCACCCAACAACCAATCTGCTCTGGTTCAATCTTCTGATAGCATACTGCATGAAGCTACATGTCAGGAAGACCACTGTATTCAATTCCTGATTTCTTCACACAGAACAAGAAGATTCTGAGGGAATCCATTATTTCAGAAGATCTGCGAAGAATTTAAACAACCGCTCTTTAAAATGGTCTTAGTTAATATGCATCAATAGAAAACTGTATCTCAAAATCAGGTGATTCAAAAAATGCGGCTCTTCGACAATTCATCTGCTCATTTAGGTCTAGTGGTTAAGGCACCAGGCTAGAAAGCGGGAAACAGAGAGTTCTAGTCCCACCTTAAGGCTCAAGCCGACTTCTCCGGCACTACACTTGAGGGGAACATATGCATCTATTGTTTGGGGAGGGTGGCACAGGCATTCCTTTTATACATCTGTGAATTTTAACATTATGGTTAGGGGCCTCAAACAGCAAAGCACAAAACAGGAAGTCTGATCAACTATCAACCCCTTCGCAGCACAGCCATGTGGCAATGACTAGTAGCAATTGTGGACAACTCTGAATCAGCTTTTAGCCATAAAAACCCGCTGGGCCAATCACTCTCTCTCAACAAGGTTGTTGTTAAAGGAAAAATAGGAGGAACGTGTGTTGTATATGTTTGCTGTCCTGAGTTATTTGTAAGAACAATAAAGGCGGGCTATAAGCAAATAAGTAAAATAAATTTTAGAACTGCAGCACGCCATAACTGATATATTATGCCTGCTTGGCAGCTTATCAGAAAGTTGTAGCTAAGACCAGCATAGCATCCTGGCACTCATACGGCACCTTTATTATTTTTAGAAATAACTCAAGGTATATCCAATATACCTTCCTCCTCCTATTTTCCACACAACAACAACCTTGTAAGGTGAGTTGAGTTGAGAAATAGTAACTGGTTCAAAGTCACCCAACCGGCTTTCATGGCTAAGGCAGAACTAGAATTCACAGTCTCCTGTTTTCTAGCCAGGTGCCTTAACCACTAGACTAAGTTGGCATTCCCACAGCATTTGCCTCCCACATAACAAGGATGAAGGCTTACCCAATAACCATTTGCTTGGATTACATTTTTTTTTCATCCTTTCTGCTTTGTTTCCAGAATCAATAACCCATAAAGAAGATTTGCTATGTGTGTGTCTAGTTTTTTCAATATACCAAGCCTTTCAGTTGTTCGGACTACAAACCCAAAATGCTTTACTGGCTCACAGGAAATTCTTGCCCCAATAAATAAACCTCTGAAAGAGAAGAAAAACTTATTAATGCATTCTAAAACAATCCAAACCAAAACTCATTTTATATCCTGTAATAATGACCATCTCTGATCAACTGAACATCTCAGTATGGCAAACCTCTGCAAAAACGACAATTGTGCAAGTCAGCATAGTTCACTACAAGCCTACAAGGCTTCATTCATAAGGCCACTCAGAAACTGTCAGGCAAGGAATAACATTTATGTGGTTCTGCATGTCACAATGACAGTCCCACATATCCTCCAGCTAGGTATTTTGATTTACTTTTGATGCTTACTAATTTTCTTGTCCATTTTTGTTATTGTTGAATCTTATTCTACCTCTTGAAAAAAATACTTTTAATTAGTAACTGAAAAACCAATGCAATTTATTTGCCAGAAATATATATATTTATCCTAAATTAGACATTAGTTCACCTGAGACATACATCCCCATTTGATTTCTCTGTCTTGATTTGCAAATGAATGTGCTTATCAATTCATTGCAAAACCATATTATCTTAATATATGGTAGCATGAATTTTCTCTGTGGTATCTCATGATGATTTGGATGAGCAGTGAAGTAATCAACATGTATATGCAAACCTGGCTTGGAGTGTTTTCTTTTGCTTTTTAAAATCCAGATAGGTCTTTAGTAGAGTTGACAAATTGCTTTTGCATTCAAATGTCAAAGCAATTTGTGAATGTTAGGGCAGATGCTCCATGGTTACCTTGCATAAAATTGAACTGTAAATACTTGATTTGAGTGTTTTCTCCAAGCATTGCCCTAATGTTCACCATTCAAAAGAAGAGTTGTTGAAAATGGGGCAAAATCTATCAAACACTCCTACTCTCATTTTAAAGTAATTTTGCATAGTTCACGCGCATAGAGGCAACTGAAAAGTAAGGAAGCTGTTGATATATTTGTTAATTATTCTTAACATAATTCTTAATTATTATGCTCCTTTAATTTAGCCAATCATTCCAAGCTAAAGTGATTTCAGCTATCAAATGCATACACTTTAGATCATTTTTTTCAAACAGCGGTGAAAGTTGCATCAGAAGTGAGGCACAAATTATTTTACGTATTGGAGGACCATCAGTCTCCTTACTGTAGCAGGAGTCCCTGCAGGGAAAGAGAGTCTAAGAGGCAGGATGACTAACATGACTATGGAATCAAAGTCCTGCTCTCTTTGAGTATGCATTGCACATACCAATTACATCATTGTGACCAACTATTTTGACCTTCTTTGCAAATGTATAGTTGAAAGGGAATAGAGCAGCGGTTCTCAACCTATGGGTCGCGACCCCATTTGGGGTCGATCGACCATTTCACGGGGGTCGCCAAGCAAGACTGTCCGCCATTTTTTTGTCCGCCATTTTTCCCCCTTTTCCGGCGGGTGCCTTACCTCCCTTGGGCTGGGCCAGCTGGTGGTCGGCCTGCTCCGTCTCTGCCGCTTGCCAGCTAAGCCTCGGCCGGCGCAGGGGGCGGAACCACGCATGCGCGGTGCTCCCGGGCAGGGAAAGTCCTCGACTTACGTCCGGTTTAGTCCTCGACTTAAGTCCGGTTTAGTCCTCGACTTACGACCGGTTTAGTCCTCGATTTACAACCGGTTGGGGGTCGCGGCATTAAAAAGGTTGAGAACCACTGGAATAGAGGAAGCAGAAAGCAAAACAAAAAACAAAACTCCACCCTCAACTTATTAAAGTCAGAAGGGTGACTAGGTCAGTGGCAAGGAATTGGGAGGTCAATTTAAGAAGGGAGGAGGAACCATAATGTTCAAGAAAAGTAATTTGTAGGACCATGTAATACATATGAACACATCTATCATGCTGGTCCCTTCCAGGTTAAGCAACGTGCAAAATGCAGAAAGAGTTAGTAATAAGGAAGAGGAATTGGCTAAAAAGAATCAGGTTTCTATCAATACCATCTACTATACATCTCCATGCTTCTCTGCTACCATATGAGTCCTCACTCCGCCCTTTTGTTCTTCAAACTTCTCACCTTGTTGTTTTTGAGGATTTCATCAAAATCACCATCAACAAAATTTCCCAGTTCTACTTTCCCCCCAACCCATTCTCTTTTCTTTCATGTATGCTTTGTGAGTCAATCTTTCTCCATTTTCTTCACATGAGCCAGACATATAATCATATTTTCTTTATTCTGGGCACTCAAGGAATGTTGACAAAGAAAAAATGTGTTTCCTCCACAGTTCAGCATTTGACTAGTCACTAGGACAGTCAAGTCCAGTCATAATCCAACTGAAGCAAAATCCAGCTGTTTGGGGTTAATCCAGATTTCAGCTGCCACAAGTCTAGGGAGAATATTTGGGGTAGTTGTTAAGGCATCAGACTAGATACCAGGAAACCCTCAGTTCTAGTACTGCCTTTGGCACAGAGCCTGCTGAATGAGCTTGGCCAGTTACAGTCCCAGGAAGAAGGTTTTAAAAAAACAATCCAAAAAACCTTGCCAACAAAATTGCAGGGACTAGATCAGGCAGTAATTAATAACTGACTCGAAGGGGGACACAGGCACAGACAGATACAAATATACATAAATACATACACTTTAGGGAAGTCTTATTAAGCAGCTGTTAGAGCATTTGCATAGCTTTTAAAAAATTTTATCCACTTCGGCATCTTTAGTAAACGTTCTGCCAAGGTATACAAATTAATCTACTAGTTGTGATTTTTTGCCATTTATACATAATGCATGATTACTTAGTTCATGAATGAGTCAAACACAACGGGCTTGATCTTTAATAGATTAAATTTCAAATCTTTACTCCTGCTTCTATCATAAAAGCTAAATTTATTGCAAGTCATTCAGATTCTCATATATCAGAATATCTGTTTATAAATAAAACACAAATACAAGATGGACTAATTCCATTTTTAAAGGAATGACTCAGAGCTGTAAAATATTTTATAAAGAGCCATATCAAAAAAGAAATAAAATAAGAATTGAATCTGCTTAGGTTGCCCAAGAAAGAATTCAGTGTTTTTGTTTATAATAAAAATGAAGGAATCTGGGAGGGAAATAAATCCTTATAATAATTCCAAATGGATAATTTTCAGCAATCTGCAATTCTAGCTAATATGAGTTGTGCCACTAGAGGTCATATTTTAAAAAGAAAAAAATCCTGATTATAA